GAGAGAGCAAGCATGGTGACGAGAGAGCAATGTTGCATGGTGACGAGAGAGCAATGTTGCATGGTGACGAGAGAGCAATGTTGCATGGTGTGGAGAGAGCAATGTTGCATGGTGTGGAGAGAGCAATGTTGCATGGTGACGAGAGAGCAATGTTGCATGGTGACGAGAGAGCAATGTTGCATGGTGACGAGAGAGCAATGTTGCATGGTGACGAGAGAGCGATGTTGCATGGTGATGAGAGAGCGATGTTGCAGGGTGACGAGAGAGCAATGATGCATGGTAACGTGGAAGCAATGTTGCAAGATGACGCGAGAGCGATGTTGCCATGGTGACGTATGGCTGGTGTGTGTTGTCTTGCTAACATTAAGATGCCTGGTCGTATTATCCGCTACAGGGTGGAATGAAGGCAGTCATATGGACGGACGCCTTTCAGATGGTGGTCATCCTCGTTGGCCTGTTAGCTGTCATTGTAAAGGGCACGATGGACGTCGGTGGCATGGACGAGGTGTTTCGCATCTCTGACGAGGGAGGGCGCCTTATCTTCTTTAAGTGAGCGCTGATGCTGATAGGCTTTATTTGACACTAACCCTAACCCTAATCCTAACCCTAACCATATCAAATAGTGACCAGGGTACGTTCCGGCAGTACCCTGGGGGACATAGACCCTATGAGCCCAGCTACCGCTGCTGCTACTATTGTTATTGTTGCTGCTGATGTTTCTACTGATTGGTACGTGATGGAATCGTGCTTAAATTGACAATGTTGATTATCACATAATGCTACTATTCATGGTGCATTTACAGACTCTCTACATGGCCATATCTCTGTATGCTCCAGCGCTGGCACTAGCACATGGTACGTCTGTAAACACTAGCTATCATAAACAAATACCCCATATACAAATATGGCTTAGATCTAAAGGTAATCAATGTAATCACAACTGCTTCAGGACAGCGCTTCATACTTGAACATCCCCGCGGTCGCGTGCGCATATCCCGCGGAACTGCGCGTCTCATCCGCGCGCAGCGCTCAGGACCAACAGCAAAGCTGTGCCACACGCAATCTTGTATCATGTCTCTCTGGATGGATTTTCATAATGGGTGCTTTGCCATTCTGTTATAAATGGTTGAGCGTTTCAGGACGGGTGGGTGCCTGACAATTCCGCGACGGTGCGGGGCGCGACTCTACCGCGACAAAATTAATGTTTGACTGTTGCATGAAGGGTTCTTAACTAATTCGTGACAGACGTGATTGACTTGATCTGTGACAGATTGATAGGCGTTGTTGTGTGACAGTGTGCGCGGTGTGTTTCAGTTACCGGACTGCCTTTGTGGGCCTCCGTTGTCAGCTCTGGCGTTGTGTGCACGTTCTACACTACTTTGGTGAGGCGATCGCGAGACATCATTATAGCTATTTAAACACCAATATGATTTTGAAATTGTAATAAGTGGGCAATGATGTCATAGAGGCGCCATGGTCACGCACGCAATACTGCCATGGTGACGTGAGAGCAATGTTGCATGGTGACGTGAGAGCAATGTTGCATGGTGACGTGAGAGCAATGTTGCATGGTGACGTGAGAGCAATGTTGCATGATGACGGAAACAAATGTTGCATGATGACGGAAACAAATGTTGCATGGTGTGGAGAGGGCAATGTTGCATGGTGTGGAGAGAGCAATGTTGCATGGTGACATAAGAGCCGATGTTCATGGTGACGGGCCGATGTCTGCGATGGTTTGGAGAGAGCAATTCTGCAGTGTGAAAGGAGAGAAGCAATGTTGTAGAAAAAAAAAAGCATGGTTGGAGAGAGCGAATGTTGCCATTTGGTGAAAGAGAGAAACAATGTTGCATGTGATGAGAGAGCAATGGGTATGCATGTGACGAAGAAGGCAATGTTGGCAATGGTGGACGAGAGAGCAATGTGCATGTAAACTGAGAGAGCAATGTCTGCATCGTGACGAGAGAGGCAATGTTGCCACCTGGTGACGAGAGAGCAATGTTGCATGGTGTGGAGTAGACAATCGTTTGGCATGGTTGGTGGAGAGAGGCAATGCTTGGGTCATGGTGTGGAGAGAGCAATGTTGGCATGTGACGAGAGAGCAATGTTGCATCGTGACGAGGAGAGCAATGTTGCATGGTGTGGAGATGAGCAATGTTGCATCTGGTGTGGAGAGAGCAACTGCTTGCATGTGACGAGAGAGGCAATGTGGCATGGTGACCGAGATGAGGGCATGTTGCATGGGTGTGGGAGAGAGCAATGTTGCATGGTGACCGACGAGAGCAAGTTGCATGGCTGACGGAGAGAGCAATTGTTGCATGGTGTGGAGAGAGGCAATGTTGCAATGGTGACGAGAGACGCAATGTTGCAATGGTAACGAGAGAGGCAATGTTGCATGGCTGACGCGGAGAGCCAACTGTTCCACTGGGACCGAGAGAGCACAATGTTCATGGTGTGGAGAGCAATGATTATGCATGGTGTGGAGATAAGCAATGTTGCAATAGTGACGCGAGAGAGCAATGATTGGGGCATGGTGAGAAAAGAAGCAAATGCTCTCCAGCATGCGTCGACCCGAGAGAGCAAATGTTGCATGGTGACGAGAAAGCAATGTGCATTGGATGTGGAGAGAGCAATGTTGCACTGTGACGAGCAGAGCAAATGTTGCTTGGTGACGAGAGACGGCGATGTTCGGCATGGTGACGGAGAGAGCCAATGTTGCATGTGACGAGAGAGTAGGCAACTGTGCAATAGTGACGAAGAGAGCAATGTTGGCATGGTGACGAGACCGACGCAATGTTGGGCATAGTGCATCGTTATTGATTTGAAGGCAATTGTTCATTTGTGTGGTACTGTATATATTCATTATTTGTTTGCATGGTGACGAGCAGCAGCAATGTTGGCATGGTGACGAGAGGAGCGATGTTCATCGTGTGGAGAGAGCAATGTGCACCTGGTTGACGAGTAGCGAGCGATGCTTGGGCACATGGTGTGGAGACGAGCAATGTTGTCATGGTGCGACCGATGAGAGCAATGAATGCATGGTGAGCGAAAGAGCGCATGTTGCGGCACTGGTGCACAAGAGGGTACGATGTTGCATGGTTTGGAGGAGACAAAGTTGTTGGCATGGTGAAGAGAGAGCAATTGTTGCACTTGGTGATGAGAGAGCACATGTGCACGTGGTGACGACCGAGTCAATTGTTCAGCAATGGTGAGGGGGGGGGCGACGAGAGAGCCAATGTTGTACATGGTATATGAGAGAGTCGATGTTGTCATGGTCTGACGAGAGGGCGATGTTGCATGTCGTGGAAGAGAGCAAGTGTTGCATGGTGAACGAGAGAGCAAAGTGTGCCATGCTACGCCGAGAGCGACCTGTTGCAATGGCTGATGCGAGACGAGCGACTGTTGGCCAGGGGACGAGCGACGCAATGATCGCATGGTAAACGTGGCAAGCAATGCTTGGCAACATGACGCGAGAGCGATGTTGCATGGCTGACCGTATGGCTGGCTGTAGTGTCTGTCTTTGCTAACATTAAGCCATCGCCCATGGTCGTAATCTCATCCGCTACAGGGTGGACATGCCAAGGCGAGTCATATGGACGGACGCCTGCTCTTCTTTTTTCCCCCAAAGAACATGGTGGTCAATCCCTCGTCTGCCACGTTAGCCTGTCATGTAAAGGGCACGATGGACGTTCGGTGCGCATCGGCAGAGCGTTGTTTCACGCATCTCTGACGAGGGAGGGCCGCCTTATCCTTCTTTAAGCTGCAGCGCCGATTCGCTCGCCATACGGCTTTATTTGACCCTCCCTGTGTTCAGCTCCTTGTGTTCGTGCGTGTGTGTGTGTGTGTGTGTGCTGCGTGTGTGTGTGGCGTCGCGTGTGTGTGCGCGCGCCCGCCAGGCGCGCGCCGCTGTGCTGTGTGACGTGTCCGGCTGCTGTGCTGTGCTGTGTTGCTCGCTGTGCGCTGTGTTGTGTCGTGTGAGCTGTGAGTGTGAGTGTGCGTGTGTGTGGTGTGTTGTGATGTGTGTGGTGTGTGTGGGTGGTGTGTGTCGTGTGTGTGTCGTGTGTTGTCGTGTGGGTGTGTGTGAGTGTGTGCTGTGTCGTCCGTGTGTGCTCGTGTCTTTGTTCTGTGTGTGTGTGTGTGTCGTGTTGATGTTTTTTGTTTTGTGTGTTGTGCCTGTGTGTGTGTGTGGTGTGTGGTGTGTGTGTGTGTGTGTGTGTGTGTGTGTGTGTGTGTGTGTGTGTGTGTGTGTGTGTGTGTGTGTGTGTGTGTGTGTGTGTGTGTACGTTTGTGTGTGTGCGCGCTCGCCACCCACTAATCTATATTATTTATCAACTATAGTTTACACATATACCGCAGCGCGATTCCACTCCCGACATAAGACATAAGGGTGCACATGTGACTAGTCGGCAGTTACATGCGGCCGTACATTCATTCAACATGATAGGATATTCTAAGTCATTGCTTATATTAGTCTCGTGCATCCGAGATTCTTTCATAAAAGCAATCGTTAGATTCGTGGAAAAACTCAATCGGACATTTATATGCTCTCAAAGTTCATGCGAGAACATTGCCCATCCATGCACGCATGTACGTGTTGCTACATGACTATATTTGGCAACACTTTGCACGCCCACACACAACAATAGTTTCCGCCCGTATGATCAGTTAGAAAATGCCAGACGTAGAGTCTATGAAAGTATACATAGATACGAAACATCTAGAACATGCTTCGACATAAAAGAACTCTGTTAAGTATTTTTGTGCACATGTATTTGTATTCGCGGGTTAGTGCGTGTGAGCGCGCTATTACAACATATTAAGCCAGACGTATTTCAGTATGGATCCGGACCCGACCACCCGGACCACATTCTGGAGCATGATTATAGGGGGCGCCTTTGTGTGTCTGTCGGCATACGCTACTAACCAGGCGACAGTACAGAGGTATATGAGCATCAAAAATACCAAGCGAGCAAATTAGTAAGTATCCGAATTTAAATATGGCGTACAAATACAAACATAATCATCAATGGTATAGACTCGCGATATTATGCAACCACTCATTTTTATAGCATTTAATATGTAAGGTGTTATATGTAGTATGTATTGCGGTAAAAGTACGAACAGCGACCGTTTTCATACCAACGGCACTAGCAATTGTTGCTCTATATTATAGTGATCGTAGCTTTACATTCTCTTCCGCTTTCACTCTTCATTCCCTTAATTCTCTCTATCTCCCTGTCGCACTCGCCTTCTCTCCTGCTCTCTCTCTCTCTCTCACACACACACACACACACACACACACACACACACACACACACACACACACACACACACACGCGCGCGCACACGCAGACACACACGCACGCACGCACGCACGCACACACACACATACACACACTATTTCTCTACATCTTGTAATGTAACACGTACAGAGAACATCGTTTAACATGTAATAACCCTAAGATATTATCAACTGTTTCTACATGGCAGTGCGCTTTGGTTGAATGCCCCGCTGTGGACGTTATTCACAATCCTGTTCATGCTCATGGGCCTGACGGCTTACGCCAAGTACCACGACTGTGACCCTGTCTTGGCACAACACATAGACAGGCCTGATCAGGTTTTCATCTTATTCATGGTTTATATTTCTCAACTCGTTATTTTATAGTTTCAATTTTCGTTTTAACGTATAACGTTTTATTCAACGCTTTCATGATTTAATTCTAAAGCCGATGTTATGTAACAATTAATTCATCTTTCGTTCTAGTTGGTGCCGTATTTTGTTCTGGACACGCTGGGTTTTCTCCGCGGACTTCCCGGTCTTTTTGTCGCTTCCTGCTTCTCGGCTGCACTCAGGTTCGCCTGTTATTATATGTCTCTTTCTCTCTCGTTTTCTCTCTGTATATTTCTCTCCCTCTCCCTCTATTTCCCTTTCTCTCTCTGCTGTTGTTACTTATTTTATCTTGTAGTAGTCACCAGTCTAGTTATACAAACGATCACTAACACGCGCGTATAGAGAAGAGATGAGGGCGTATCTAGAAAACTGCGCGATTTTTAGTACTACATGTATATTATCTTCTAGGAGCTATAGCTCCTGGACAGCTCACCCTCCTTCCTCGGATAAATCACCCCCCGGCAACCCCTCCCCCGAACAATTACATTCTGGACAGTGGACACACTACTGTGGACACAACTGTGGACACACACTACTACACCACTGTCCACACCCTACTGTCTACACTACTGTGCACACACTGTTACCTCTCAGAAAAATTTCCCCTCAGACAATCACCCCGGAGAATTACCCCTGGTTGATCACCACTCGTTTCTCCTCTTAGACAATTACCAATTACGAGTTTATTTTTAGATAGTTTTGATATTAACGTGTGGAATTTAATTACGCGAGGAAAGATATAATGAAAGAGAATTGTAAAATGCTATTACATTATATTGCTTACTAGCCTGGTACCCGGCGTTGCTCGAGGAAAACGCTTAGGAAGAACTTTTAAGAGCAAATTCAGCCACATATAATTACTTAATTCTAAAATATTTTTACCTGCCCCCCCCCCTTAATTCACCCATACAATCCCCATCAGAAAGGAAAGAGAAGCGTGTGGGATTCACAATCTAAACACTGTCCCGCCACACGGACTCAATCTACGGGTAGAGATTCCGGGATGGATAGAAGACCGTAATTACCCTCCCACCAGCATGGTATACACGCAAGGCTAATTCTCAGCCGACATGTATATACATGTCATATATCATATATCATGTCTACATTATATCCGAATGTATACACAGACAAATTAAAATTTTAAAAATACAAATGAAACGAAAATGGACCACTAAAAGTGTGTGTTGTGCTGCTTTTGAGACTCAACTGACAACTGAGTGCATAATTAACAAAAGTATAAATTTGGCATATTTTGTCTATATGATTGTCTTAAATACTGGCTTGTGGCATGTGTTGAACTTTTGTTTTCCCCCCTTTGTGTAGTGAGCTCATGTCAGTTTAGCAGTTGTCGGGTTGAGCAATTATCCGGAGAGCAGTAATCGGCTAAATAATTGTCGAATAATAAATTGCCTGCTCAATAAGAATAGCATCTCGTATCATTCACACAGCACCGTGTCGTCAGGCGTAAACTCACTATCAGCCGTTGTACTAGAGGACATGGCAAAACCATTCTACACGCGTTGGCATGGAAGACAGCTGGACGTGCATTTAGCGACAACGTGGTCGAAGTACATTGGTACGATGTTATCGCAGGAAATCTGGCCCTGTTCGCCACTATCTTCAAATTCCGTTCAATCTTAAAATCCATCTTGATTGCACAGTATTTGATGTCAAGAACCAGTAGTATAAAATATAAATCACATAAAGCAGACTCAAATTCAATCATTTGTCGCGTTATATCTTTCCAGTATGCATAGTCACTATCACCTTCTTATGTTATTTTACAGCGTTGTTCTTCGGAGTTTTGAACGTCATCCTAGCCCTTCTTGTGCAACTCATTGGAGCCGGAATGATTGAGGTGCATAATAATACTCGGTCACGCTAAACATTGTAGCCTATACGCTTCAGGACTCTGTATATACAAACTAATTCGCGGCGGCAGCGCTGAGTACACGGAGAGTGAATCTGAAAGTGAGCCGAAATCGCTTACTTTCATTTATGATGCAAATGTCGGAATAAACACCGACTCGTCATGCATTCACAGATAGCGTTGAGTTTCTTTGGAATGGTGGGAGGCCCGCTTCTTGGCGTATTCGCAATGGGTATGCTCTGTCCAGTAGTCAACTCAGCAGTAAGTATGTATAGATATATGTGAGTACGTGTAACATGTCTCTCTCTCTCTATATATATATATAATTATATAATATATATATATATATGTATATATAATGTAAACATACATATCAGTTTTAGCGTGTATATGGGTGTGTGCGTGCGTGTGTGCGCGTGCATGTGCGTATACATGTACGTGTCCATCTATCCATCCATCCACCCATCCACCCACCCATCCATCCATACATGCATTCATCCAACATCCATCCATCCATCCATCCATCCATCCATCCATCCATCCATCCATCCATCCATAGACCAGTTTATATCTGTTATAACGAGCCATTGAGAACATGCAGCACCGGAAACCCAGCGGTACAAAGCGGCACACTAGTACCGTAAACAACCTATCACAATTATAGACAACGTTATACTCGCTATGTACCATTATATACACTATAATGCACTGCGTTGATTTGCCTGCCAAAATTATGGTCGTTGTCACGTGACATGCGAGTTTTTCCTCCAAACACTACAAAACTTGTCGGCACTTGCTTTAGTTCCGTAAACGATGAGGGCCGGCCACTGGATCGCTGGTTATTAGGAGATACAAGGATTACGCACTGCGCTGGAAGCATAGCGCCTTCCCATGAATGAGCAAGTAAGTATTTTAAGCTAACTAGCGTGACGTAGGCGACTAATTCCTAATTAAGCCTGCGTGGGCCGCGCGCACCCAAAAATATGGAAGACAATAAAGCACATTGACGTGACGCCAGAATAACCAGCTATACTGACTACTGCATGACTACTGAATAACCAACTACTGACAAACGGTCGGATTGTAACCCGTCCGACCTGCCTTTGAAACAATACAGATGAGACAGTATATATAGTCGAAACGACAGAAAAAAGACCGTAAGAGGTCAGGAGACGGTAGGAGAGACGACACAGACAGAGAACCAGGAACGGAAGTCAAGGTATAGTCCTAGTAGATAATCTGTAGCATAATGTACATATAATATATATAGGATTCTTCATTAAAGTCTGTCTGATGATCGCGTAAGCGTGAAACTAGGAGTAACAGCTAAAAGTGATGTCTTGTCTTTAATATCCTACTTTATCGCATCCACACCATCCTCCATCACTTTCAATATCCATCCTCGCCATCTCATCATAATTCCATCCATCCACCATCCATCCATCCATTTCCAGCAGCCATGCCATCCATCCATCCATACCATCCATCCATCCATCCATCTAAACCGATCCATATTCCACTATTCATGCAATTCCATCCATCCATCCATTCCACCACCCACTGCCCTCCATCCATCCCATCTCATCCATCCATCCCCTCCATCCATGTCATCCATCCATACAACAATTAAAAATCTATCATATCCATCTTAGTCATTCATTCATGCCCACTATTCAACGCATCTATATTTTCAATCTATCGCATTACAGTCCATCCATCCATCCATCCATCCATCTATCCATAGCATCACACCACTCGGCAGCTTATCTACCCGCGCTACATACACGTGCCCAAAAATTGGATGTAGGGTGCCCAAGACCCGGACGCTTTCCTCCATTACATTCATAATCTTGATTGGCTTCGAAGCCTCCGTCCTTACACCAGGGACCCCTACGCTTCTGCCGATCTCGCTGAAGGCTCGACGGTTACTGACGTCATCAAACGCATCGACGCAATTCTCTTATCAAACTACCGAAGCTGTAGGTGACTAGTCAATCTGCCGCTATGAGCAAGAGTTTACGTACTTTCAGCGCATATATAGTTCACGGCTTGCCAGCT